CAACCAGAAATGCAGCTTTCCAAAACAATATTGGGGATGCCGACCACTTTTGTGTCCATTCTTCTTACGTAACGACATCGACCTAGAATTAACTTTCAGGTGTGTTGAGGATGTGGTTGCATTTCCAATTGCCGGTAAAGTTACACCCATGATTGCAACATTGGAGCCCTACATATGCGACAAGACGTCCCACAATGGACTGTTTATCTCTAACCAACAAGTGAGGCCAGGATGAGATCAATAATACGGATGGATCCTGTTGCGCTTTGCCTATGCAGAATTGATACGCATACATGTTCAAGATCGGACATGGCTTGGTTGTACGTAGACTGCTCCTGCTGCATTCTTGCGGTTTTGAGGTAAGACATGTGGCCAGATCTAACTTAACTTTCCTCCCGTAACATCGCGCCGCGGTGAAGTCCGTACCACAATCGTTCCCCGGTGTTTACCCCGCCGGATTCCTGTCAGGGTAATGCCCCGCGGATGGCATTGTTCTTTTCACCCCTCCCCTCGCTCTACACCGCGCTCCCGCCATATGTGCCGATTGCACTAGTCGGCCGCGGACAGCGCGTGCCTCCCTTCCGTCGGCGTCGACGCCGGGCGCGCGTGCCGCCCCCGCGTGCCGACGGAGGGGCGGCCGCTGGGAACCGGCCCGGCCACAGCTTCCCACGTCGATCGGAGCAATTACCGGGGCGGGCGGCGGGCGCGTGCTGGCGGTGGTTAGCGGTCCGTGGAGGGCCACAGGGGGGCCTGGTGACGAGCGATCCGGCGCCGCGGGGAAGGCTCCGCGCCGAGCTCGCTCTCCGGCGGGCTTTCAATAAAACGCAACATCAAAGACATCTGAACTCTTTGTCAACCGCCGTACACGTGATAGTGAAGTCCCTCCGCCCCCCCATAAAAAATCACCGGATGTGCCCAATCTGTTGATGAGGACATCTTTGTCTGTGATGCTTTTCATTGTTACCTTTTATAACTGGAACAAAAGCCAAAAGCTACCGCGAGATCCATTTTGCCTGAAGCTTAATCGAGACCGAAAAATCATACGTTAAACGACTGCATGAAGTAAATCATCGGCACTTTTCATTGAGCAACGGTCCAGTGAAATCTTTCTAAAACGATAGAACTCAGAAACTTTGGCAGGATTATTATCTGAATTGTAAAGATGTCAAGGACCAGGCGAATGTGGGTTGAAGATCAAAATGGGCCAATAATCTGTATTAACATTACCAAGCCATGTTTGTCTGGAAATGTTAAACATTCAGTTAGAACTGATTAGTGATACAACTTATGCAACGTAGTTTTGAACATGCGCGCAAGCACATCTTAGCAACAAAAACCTCGACCCGAGGCGTTGCAGTCTCAATAGGCCAGGTAGCGTCGGCCCGGCTAACAAGTGGTAACCAACAGGTGGACGAAAGAGATGACGCACCTGAAAGAAGTACCTGTGAACTCTTCTGGTCTTAAAATCGTACATTTAGAATAAATTCCAGGCGTGCATTTCACCTGTGCGATTTTTAGATTGATGATACTAATGAATTGGCGTTGACAGCACCGCGAAGTGGTGCTGGGATTTGGTACTGGAACTGGAGCAACAAATGCGCAATCTCTATTTTTCGCGTTACTGTAACTGTCAGCCTGTCCGGAGGACAACCTCAAAGATTTAACAAAATCCCAGAGTCATCTTTGAACTGTACGCGTCTTATCCATACGCGCCCGGAAGCCCCGACGGAATTCCGACCTGGAAGCCGCGGCGCATCATTTTGAAAGACATTCAGGAACATTATTTCACGGTGGTCGTTCTTGCGCGCGCGACGCCCGCCGCCTGGTGTTACTTGCAGTGGCCAATGCCGTTCGGTTTTACAGAAACTGCAACGCAGGCTATCGTTGTTCTTCCTCCGAGATTACTGGTGCGCAGGCTCAAACCTTTTGATGTAATTTGTTTCACTGGTCGATTCCGGAAGAGAGTGGACGTTCTCAAGCAAACAGGAATGGTCTTGTGCGGTTTTTTTTAACTCATTTCGACACACTATTCACCACTAAGGAGACCACCCATTTGTTTCCGAGGAAGGGTCCCCTTGAGTAGAATACTACGGGGAGCACTACTGTCCCCAGTAAATGGCTGAAGGACCGTTCTGTCCCACCGCGGTGTGTCTTTCGGCTGGCATTCTGGCGACACGGGGCGGGATCCCCTGGCCGTCCCGGAGGCCATTAGAGGGATACATCATATCACCTTGGTTCGCTGCCTGACGCGAGAGCCCTTCTGACCCGCGCAGTTGACCCCGGATTGACGCAGAAACCCTTAATGACGCAACAACATCGCCAGTGCTAGAATTGGGTTGGAGGGCCTACCGTTAGATACTGAGGGTCCTGACTAGCATAGGACCCTTCCATTGCCTCAGTGCGAGCATTCACAATAAGTTCCCACGTTTCCTTTTCAGAGGGCCCCGGCTAATACAAGAGGGCCTGTCTCTCGGGGTCTCGTCCCCGTCCCTGTGGAGCAACTCCGCTCCTGACCGACTGGAGGCCCCTTGTTACCACAGAATACCCTGCTGGGCACTGTGGGTCCCTGGACGATATAGGAGCTCCAACCAATGGAAGCCGCAGGCCCGGCCTCGTTCCCGCTTGGAGAATGGGCCCCAAGAGTTCAGACCAACACGGAGCCAACTGATCGGTATTCGTGATCTCTGACCGATTAAGACACTCGCATTGTCTCAAGGGGTCCTCAAACGGTGCAAGAGGACCTCTGACTGATATTTCAGGTCACAGTCCTATGGGCCGCGATTTTTTATGTGACCCATAGCCAGCCCTTCAGGCCCTTAAGCCCCCAACCGGGCCTTTGATCGTCGGTTCCTGTGGGCCGCCCAGGCCCCTCTTTGGACCTCATCGAACATTCCCCTTGGTCGGCTCGAGGCTCCTTGTGAGCACGGGACCCTCCGTTTGGCGCTGTGAGTCCATGGCAAATACAGGGGCCCCAGTGTAAATCACTGGTCCCGGCTTTATAACTGATTGGAAAGTGGGCCCTCAGGCCCACACCGACACGGAGCCGATCGTGCGGCACTAGTGGTGCCTGGCCGTTATATAGACCCATACCGACTAAGGGGGTCACCGATTGGCGCAAACGGCGCTCTGACTTTTATTTGAGTGACTCGGGACCCTTCGCCAACACAGGGCCCCTGTCAGGCGCTGTGGGGCGCTGATAGACGCTGCGGTCCCAGCCAACGTAAATCGCTGACTCCGGCTTTGTTCCTACCTGGGAAATAGGATCTCAGGCCCATGCCGCCATGGGGCCGACTGTACACTACTGGCGGTGTCTGACCAACATATAGGCCCTCATCGACTCGGGGGTACCCTGATCAGCGCGCAGGGCCCTCTGGCTTGCATCGGGGTGCCCTTGAAAGCGACATTCCGTCGGCCTTTCGGGCCCTCAAATCGGGTCCTTAATCGTAAGTTCCGAGGAGCCCGAAGAGCCCCTCAGAAGCTAAAGGGGGGGGGGGGGCACGTGCCCTTTGCCCCCTCTGCGTGTGCTACTGGCGCGGGGACTGATACCAGAAATCCATCCAACCAGGTGGTCCCGAGGAAATCTTGAAAAAGTCCCATGGGACCGCCCGAATGACGTGGAGCAGCTTACGGATCCTCCTCTCTGCTAAAATGGGGTGTCAAGAGTAGGAGCGACGTACAGGCTTTGATATCGAAGGGCGATGACGAAGGGCGCCCGTGGGATGCGAGGTCTGAGGCTCTTTATTCCGATCTAACAAAATAGGCCAAACATTACGATAGGATGGATATCTGGCAGCGACCTCGCACCAAGCAGTGCTTGTGTGGAATCTGACCCCACCACGTGATTGTGGAATTCGATTTTAATGTCGGAATTTTGTGGCGAAAATCTCACATAACGCAATGGTCGCAACGTTCCGCCCGCTCTCTGAACTCACACAGCCTTTGGGCTTTGCTCACGTGGCCTTTAGGCTTTACTCACAGCCGTTGCCACGGGCCGAGGGGTCATCCCAGTCTGGGACAAGTAAAGAGCGCCGAAGCAGTCCGAGCCTATCCACCCCGCCACCGGCTGGTTCGGAGGCGGACATTCGAACTGACTGAGCTACGGGGCGGAGCCAGTGAAGCCAGTGAGCCAAGTCAGCAAACCGACTGAGTTACGGGACGGAGCCAGTGAAGCCAGTGAGCCAAGTCAGCAAACCGACTGAGCTACGGGACGGAGCCAGTGAAGCCAGTGAGCCAAGTCAGCAAACCGACTGAGCTACGGGACGGAGCCAGTGAAGCCAGTGAGCCAAGTCAGCAAACCGACTGAGCTACGGGGCGGAGCCAGTGCAGACGGTGAGCCAAGTCAGCAAACAGGCGGCCAGGCAGAAGTGGGCACAACGCTTGTGGTCACGAGACTAAACATAATGACCGGCATTGCGGGAAGGTGGCTCTGATGTGCTGATACGTTACGTTCACGTGCTGCCGGACTTATTTTCGATGGGTACACGCCATCAGGACTACGAGAACCATTGCGCTTATGGGAGATAAGTCTCTGCTGGAAAAACATCACGTGCAGCGACCACTGATGCATTGCGATAAGTCGGGGTCTTGTTCGCAGAATAAAACGAGGACTAAAAAACATTATGTATCACGTTATAGAAAACCAGCGTGACGGTACAATATCATGCGGCTCCGGTTCGCGACATCAGCGAGACATTATCTTTCACTGGCTTCACTTCAAGGGACGGGAGCACCACCTCCCGTTCGAGCTTCGGTCCCCGGGCTGTCTCGCTGATCATGTCCTGGTGACTCTCGCTCCACGCGAATAAGTACTCGAGCTTCTTCATCATGCGGCGGAGGCCGGGCCGGGTCGGGCCGGGCTGCCGTGCCGCCGCCGCCGCCACAGACGCTCCAAACGCCTCGCTGAAGCTGTCGCCGGCTCCCGCGGCGGCCGGCTGGGGCCGGACCCGATCCTGGCCGGCCTTCAGCTGCGCCAGCGCCGCGTCCAGCAGCCGCCAGAGGTCGGAGAGCGCGGCCAGCACGTACCAGCTGGCGTCGTCGGCGCCCGGCCCGGCCAGCAGCTGCTGCACAGCGGCGCGCGCCTCGCGCCGCAGCGCCTCATCGGCCTGCCAGGCGCTGCCGCCGGCGTGGAAGTCGACCGCCTGGACGGCGGCGCGGCCGCTGTCCATGACCTCGCCGCGCGAAAGGCACCCGCTCAGAAGGCAGAGGCCGTCGCTAGCCTCCAGCGTCGACGCCGACCAATCGCCGTCGTACAGCAGGCGCAGGTACGCGTACGCGTACAGCGCGTTGATGACTGAGTTGATGACGAGCGGCGAGGGCGGCTGCTTGGTGAGCGCCGAGAGCGGCGGCACGCGCCCCAGCAGCGGCGGCGCGGCGGCCACGAACGCCGGCACCTCCGCCTCGCGTCCCACCTCGGTCACCTTGGCGCGGCCGCCCCTCAGCGTCCACCAGGGCCGCCAGCGGTCGCAGGGGATGGCGCCGCCGTCCGCCTGGCGCCGGAACTCGTCGCGCTCGGCCGGCGTCAGCCGACTCCACACGGCCTCCGCGTCGTCCAGGTCGACGCCGCGCATCCGCTCCGAGAGCTCGTCCTCCGAGTCGCTGTCGTCCGAGTCGGCCGGCTCGTCGTCGGCCTGCAGACGCGCCTCGCGCGCGAGCGTCTCCTCCATGCGCCGACGCACGGCCGGGTCCGGTTGCTCCCGACGCAGCGAGTCCATCACGCACTCGCGGTAGAAGCCCTCCGAGCATCGCTCGTGGCGGCTGGACCGGTAGCAGGGCAGCGAGCAGTACGGCACGCCGCAGCGTGGGCACACGTACTTGGCGCCATTGGCGCAGAAGGTGCACGTGCCGGCGCTCATGCTGCCGTCTGGTGGCGGAGAGCGGCGGGGGACAGCCGACGGCAGCTTGTATTGACAGCTGGTGGCTGAAATGATAAAAAACAATGCCTAGAGGACACAGGCAAAGCTTCTCCAGTGCTGACCACATGACAGCTGTGTTGACACCCAACAGACACAAAACCACACAGGCAGGAAAACTTTTCAGATTTGTGCATTTGGCAGCAATATGCTCAATGAAGTGATTACAGAAAATATATTAATTGGGTCATACATAATGTCAAAATATACAATTTTTAATACACACAGCAGGCTTCTAATGAACATAACAAATATATCCAGGAATGTGCTAGCAATGGGGGCCGAAGGTGGCTAAGCTGACCTAACTTCCTGAAAATTTGGCATGGGACCTACAGGCATTGACCGCAATGAAAAAACGGCTATCAGGTTCTTGACTTGAGAGAACTTCAATTGCCCCAGATTATACCTGCAATATAAAACAGCACCAGCATGCTCCTTTCCTTAAACCAATGCTTTAGAACATCTTTACAATTTGTATTGCTCATTGCTCATCATCATACAGGTGAGACCTTTCTTGCAGAGTAAAAGTTGATGAAAAGGTCTTTTGCAAGGTGGTGGTACAAGTGAGGTAATAAAAGCAGGACCCACCACAGGTTTTTAAAAAGGGGCAAGATTTCCCAGGGGCCTATGGGACAAACCAGTGCCTCCACACAGGAGGACTCCTGCACAATGTCAGAGTCAAGAGGAAGGGGCACCAAGGGCACATGTCCCTTATCAAACTTACATGCATCAAACCTGAGTAAATCAATGTTAATGGTTTAAAAACTTAGAATGGGGGCCTTCCTAACTATTCAGTACCTTTGGGGCCTGTTACCTTTGGGAACCCAATGGAGCAATCAATGTAATGGCATGTCCTACTTCCATGGGCTTGATGGGAGGTGTACTGATGTCTGGCATCCACACACCATATAAACATTGCTAGATTATTACCTGGCTCCAGATCAAGTATCTTATCTACCTAAGCTGAAGATATAACATATAAAGGTGCATGCAGGTTTCAGGCATGCCAATGTCTGCCAATTTCAATTGACCTGAACAGCTTTTAAATGATTTTTCTTTTGATGATTAAGGAAAATCTGTTCAAAAATATTTATATTTGAGGTGGACACTGGTTGCGGCAAACTGTGTTATGCACACACATATATGCCAGTTTAAGAAAAGTTGATGCTGAATGATACCATGATTTACAGTCTTATTCTCACACATAACATGCTACCTACCTTCTACAGTAACATCCACGTCCGTACATGCTCTGATTGCCAAAAATGGCATGCATCCTTAAAAATGTCCAAAAATGGGCTGATCCATGGTTTACGTCCGATAACCGCACGAAATCTGCGCTTACCGACCAGAAATCTGCGCTTACCGACCAACAGTTTTGCCACCAGGAATGCGTAAGGCGTACATGGCGGTCCCTTACCTCACTCCAATATCAGTGGAGGGAAAATCACGTTCAAGTGGTATTCATCGCCTCAGTCCGGATATCAATTCTTCAAGATAGGCCCAAGTAGCCCTAAAAAATAGTCTGAATGCTACCCGCGCAACCATCATAATCCCGATTAACCCAGGTTAGCTCACGCTAACGAAAAACGCAACGCGGGGGTTTTGTCGCAGATGCGCAATATATTGCAGCAAAGTGCCTCCTTAGCTCAGCAGAACTACCAAATTCCACAAAATATTTTTCATTTGTCCTAGTTTTTTGTTTCAACTCGAAATACCGTGTGTGACTGTATACGTAAGGCGGGCGTTCAGTTGTTTCATCACTTACAACGTCGACACTGGCGGAAGCGAGGAGACTTTCCCGCGCTGAAAAACAAACTGACCTGTAAAGGTCCCGTATGATTCCAGGTCCAGAGGAATTAAACAAGTCCAGGTTCCCAATATTATCATAGACGGAATCATCAAGTCCAGGTTCCCACTATTATCATGGCTGCCCAATGTCCTCTCATGGCGCACAACTACAACTACTCACAGCTGGGCAGAACCATACCAAGATTCGCAGCAAAGCGACTGAATCCGTACACATTCGTTTACTGTACTGTAATTACATACGCAAGTGGAGATGCCGAACAAAGCTGGCGCAACATAGCTGCCGATACAATGACGTCCAATTGGCTGTCGATAAAGGAATGTTCATTGTCATGATATCGGTGAAAGCTGGTGGGCCTGTCGCAAAGGACATACTGCATTCCCCACGCGGGGTGCCATGAAAGTTTTACATTAGACACGTCTGGGCCGACATACTCGCATTGCTTGGTGCCATGGCCTGTCCCCAGTCTGATGTGCTTAAGATAATCATCACTGGACCGGCGCGCAGCAGTGCGCTTTCATGTTAATTCGTCCCGCTGCGACCGCGCTCGTCCCACTGCGCCTTTCATGAACCGAGAGGTGAAGAGCGGGGTCAGCCCAGGTTAATCATTGGCGCAGGGACGGGGGTTCCGTGGTTGTCATGGAACCCTCAGGTTCCGACATTGGCTAACCCCATCACAAAGCATGACAAGAATCGACGCCAAAATTGGCCCCGGCGCCCTTCTCTCTCCGAGGCGCTATTCCACGTAGCGTACCCCGCGTGTCCACGCAATCGGGATCTCTGTTGACCCGACCTGACCCTCCGCAGTTTTCACTGGCGAGCTCGGAAACGGTCTACTGCGAAATGGAGCCCACACGGAGTACTGGTCTGACCTTGAGCACCGGTCTGACCTTGAGCACTGGTCCGACCTAGAGCACTGGTCTGCTCGCCGCAGGGGTTAGCGCAACATTCGCCGCGCGCGGTTTCCCACGGCCCGAGGCTCTGGGCGGTACAGGCGACCAGTTCACTAAAGCGCTCTTAACACGAGCGCGGTCTCAAATGCAAGTGAAATTGATGGCGGCTTCCAGGACCAAGCAAGTCAGTGACGTACCCTGCCCAAAAACCCCCGGCATGCTCATTTCGCTGTATTAAGTAACAACTTCAACAACTAAAGCTCGCTGAAGCATCTTGGTGAAAGCGGCATCCGACGGCAGAACACTCAGTTTGACCGCACGAGGACGACCCATGCAGCGCATGGCGGTCAGACCGCCTCTCCGGACGCCTGCGCGGGCGGACACGCGGCGCTGGCGAGAGCGGGGAGCGCCAAGTCACTCTCTAAGACGACAGCGGGAGGTTAATCCGACGCGCAGAACACTCGACTGAGGTGCCACAAGCGTCGCACATGACAGCTGTGGTAGTGCGGCGCGCGTTACGCAATACCACGCGCTAACACAAGTCACACGTCTTGAAAGTGCCGACCACACAAGGTGAAAGAATATCCGACAAAAGCGAAACACAAGAGCTGGCAGTACGAGTAGCAGCCTGGTAGTAGAGAAGACCAGATGACACATTACAGGTCGACAAGAGCCCAACTTCAAAGTACTGGCGACGTTACCAACCGCATCCATAGAAGAGGCACTGTCTTATAGTTACTTTAATCGAATATACATGGGTCATCGAGTTCCATTAGCTCGCGTGCTCCGACATGACACACCAGTCAGTTTTCCACCCCCAGCCTTTATGTAATTTCAACCCCGATTTGTCCCTGATCAGCTGGCACTATGGCTGCTCTTATGACGTCATCTGGACCAATCCCAGCGGTGCTCAGGTAATGCTGCACTGCTAATGCTGACCGCTCGGTACAGAAGGCACCCTATCCAACAAAGCGGAGCTGCTTGGGGACGTCCGTGGTTGCTGGGAGATGCATCTAAATCATGGTAACTAATCTCGTGTTCTAACAACGAGTAATGAAAGACCGACAGCTGGAATATTATGCCTAAATACGTCGTAAAAAAGCGCACCATATGAACCCATCTGGAACGTACAGGGAAAATAAGCAATTCTGCTAGAAGGCGTGGTTGAAATTACGACACACGTGGTAACTAACGCCTTACGCCACAGCTATGTCGCTATCAAGATTGTAAAGTGCATTTACATGATTGCCGCATACCTGAACACAACGCAAATGAACTTTTGTAGAGGATACATTTCCGCGCCTTTCTGGGACGAAGCACGTAAAATGCGGACAGCAACTCACACAGCCCACAAAATATGCTAACCCACACACAAAACCAGTGTTCATAAACCTTTCAAATGGCGTCCCGCAAACTAGTAACGTTTTGGAAACCCATCCCGATCACTTTAGCACATAATGGTTCGTTGTAAATTGAGACATTGGAAAGCACTCTTCGTCATATTGCTTGTACTGGAATCAGCCGAGTGACACATTTGCTAGCCCAAAAGTAAACAAAGACACTCAAGAGTGCAACAAGCGAAAAAGACGATGAAGCCTCAAAATATACAAGACGAAAAGCATGCACAGATATACGCAGACAATTAATGTAAAGCATCAGTCGCTGGCTGTGGAGGATGCAGCTTTGAAAGTAAACTCATCTTTCAGCGCACACTTGCAAGTCGCAGAGTTAAAAGTGAATGTAAATACACTGATGTCGCATACACAGCTCCGCACGACTGCACAGCCCCGCTGTGAGTGAGCGGGAGCGATACGCGCTGCCGGCCACAATCTGTCTTCCGTGTCTCGAAAGCGCTCATTGCACATCACAGTTGCAACTCTGCGCTTGTGCGCACGTGTCGGCGGAGCACAAGTTTGGCACAATGCGGAGTGTTAATGAGGGGTTTCGACCGGTACTGACCATCAACATGACATTCGCTCTAGTAGCATTCAACGGCGACCCTGACAAGCGGCAAGTGCGGGTAGACTCGCACTGACAGAACCCAGCCCAGCAACAACCATGGATAATTTGGCCACTGGTCCGAACAGACAATACCGATAACTGCGACCGTGAGCGAGATGCGACAGGACACACTCCCGCAGCTGCGCGCGGCACCCGACCATGCTACTCTTCACGAGATTCTGCCCTCTGTCTACGGAAGCGTGGTCACGTGGGACAATCTACCACTGGTAATGCAGCTACAGACAGCTGACGGGGCGCGCCGATCGCCAGGCGGCGCCAGCGTCGGCCGCCACTGCCGACAGCGAGACCTCGGGCCCGCAGACCCGGCGCAGTCGTCGGTGCTGTCGCGCCGCGGGGCCGAGTCCTGGCGGGCGGCGGCCGGGGAGGGCGGCACGGGTCCGGACCTCCAGCGTCGGCCGGCCCGGCGGCGGGCGGCGGGCGGCGGGCGGCGGCCGGGGAGGCCGGCACGGGTCCGGACCTCTAAAGCCCGCCAGCCCAGCGCCGCCGATGTCGCAGCCACTCTAATCGCCGTGCCCTGCCGGTCCACCACACGAGCGCGTGAGAGCGTGAAACATCGAGCGCGATACTCTCGGGGCACCGACATCGCGAGGGCCGACACTGCAGGCCAGCGACCGAGACGACCCCACAGCCCGACAACGGAGGCGAGCGGCCGGCGAGCTGGTGAGCAAAAGAACAGGACAGGCGCATCCTATGCAACTTCTCAGCAACTAAATTCGACGATAAAATTGAGCTTATTTTCGAAAATTCCTGAGATCATCATAAAATAAAAATAGGGAAATTATTTAACTTATTATAGGATACCATTTTGAGTGACGTCATAAGACAACCCAAATGATGTTGGAAATTGAACTGTACAGTTAAGCTACTTGAAATTTTTGCACGATTTGGTACAGAACAAAAGAAAAAACAAACCGTACTCAACGGCAAACATCAGGAGATAAGGCTATATTTAATGAACGCGATTGGTAGCCCACCTATCCTGGCGTGAAGGAAGACGGCAAACGCCTGTTTTACCACCGTGTCTACTTATGTACCCAATCCGAGACGTTTCACTCTGCGCCGTTGACTTAACAAGGTGTCAAACAGGCTGTCAAACAAAATCAAACAAGGTAAGGCGCATCATAGCGAAAAACGCATCAGGCCGAGGAGACACCTCTCAAGATGAACCATGCCGGGGACACCGACCGACGCGACCTGCGTGCTGCCCTCGCGCATCGCGCGGCTCGTGTGATGTGCGGGGGCAGCACGTGTCCCCGCTCTGACCTGGCGCGCTGTCGCATCAGCCGCTGTCGGCGGCCGCTGTGCCGGCCGGCGCGCCGTCGGCTGTCGCCGGTCCGGCGCGAGCGGTGGGCGCCGGCGGTGGCGACGGGACCGAGGTCGTCGGCCGGGGCGGGACCGAGGTCGTCGGCCGGGGCGGGACCGAGGTCGTCGGCCGGGGCGGGACCGAGGTCGTCGGCCGGGGCGGGACCGAGGTCGTCGCCGGGCCGGGGCCGAGGCCGTCGGCCAGGGCAGCGACGGCGGCGGCGGGCGGCGCCGTCTGCCGGGCCGGCTCCAGCGGCGGCCGCGCCGCCGGCTGCTCCAGGCCGGCCGGCGTGGCCGGCGGCGGCGGCGCGCCCGGCGGCGCGCCCGGCAGCGGCCGGCACTGATCAGGGCCGCTGCAGCCCTGCATGTCGGCCAGCTGCGCGTCCAGCGTCCGGATGCGCGCCTGGTCCAGCGTCGGCGCCAGGTTGTCAGCTGGTACGGGTCAACCGTGAGGTGAGAAGCTGAGGAAGCCGGTGATGAAGCGACAGTAGAGCCAGTTTTCTGCGCCGCCCA